ACGAGTTGCTAATTTGACCGATAAGTCCTCAAAATTGATTATACTTCCCTCTGGTAACTGCCAAACCACCGCTGTGCTTGTCCAGTTAGGTAAGAGGGTAGAGCTTTAGCCATAAAATTCAAGGATGTATTCTTGATCCTCATGACCTGGACATACCCCTGTAGCCACTGGGAGACGTCTGTATCTCCTGAGTATTTGGTGAAGTCCTTGGGGAAGTCGAAGTCTTGGGGCTTCGGCTTGTCTCTAATGTCTGGTATACAGGGACTTTGGTCTACGACCATTCCAATGATTTTCCTCATCTCATCTCGAATTGAAGAATCCTGGACTCTCACTCCCTGCTGACCTTGAGGAAGATAAGGTGGGATTTCTCCGTAGTTGTTACGTTGTTGGCGCCTGGGAGGCGAGTACGGAAGGAGACGGCGATGCTCCCTCTTCCATAACCTCGACGCTTGGGGATCCTTGTCGATAGTGGTTTTGAGGATCCTTGCATCTGTACACCGCATCAAACTCTTCAAGGGCCGTATCAAAGGCTGGATATCTCTTCCTGAAAGCATTCCAGAAAACGGTGTCTCGAGTGGCGGTTGACTGGATATCCAAGAAGCCCTTCCGATCTGAATATTCCTGATAGTCCCCTTCCTCCTGGACCTTTCGCTTGCCTTGTTTCTTCTCGAGAAGAGCTAAAGTGCGTCGTGCTTCCTTCTCGTCAATTAAGTCGGCTAACTCCTATTCAGTTGGATCAGGCTGCCCCAAGAGACAACGACGCCTCGTTTCTTCGAGAACATATCTTTTCATCCGTTGAGTTTGATCACTGTCATCCCACAGCTTTTTGAGTTTGGCCTCAATTTTCGCCAACTTCTGATCCTCCCGGCGTTTTTTGGATGTTGTGGTATTGAGAGGAGGGGGCGAATCTTTTTTCTCGGTTGCGGGCAAATCCGATTTCTTTGGGTTAGGTTGCGATGTTCCGAGGAGCAGGCGCTCTTTCCCTGGTTCTTTCTTGGGTTCTCTTTCATGGTTCTTTCCTGCCTTCTTTCTTTCATGTCGTTGTTGAAATTCTGCCAGGGTAGTGTTATCGGCTGAGCTGTGCCATTCTACCAGAAGATGTCGTGCTGCTCGTGTCCTCTTCAACCCTAGCCATGGTGTGCGTGATTCTAGAAACCCTAAGTCGCACCGGAGAAGGTTAAGAAAACTAAAAAAGTTTTCGTGACACAAAATCCTAGTTTTCGGGTCCCACTGGGCGTGCCACTTAACGAAGCTTGGTTTGCCTATGCTGGTTTGATAGTGGAACTCCGGCTAGGGTTTCCTGCAAAAGAGAGCTTCAGGGGTCTCCCGAGTGTAGACACTCCGATGCTTAAGTCAGAAAAGGGTTTAAAGAGTATATGTGAGTGGTAAGGTTTGCTAGAGATTGTGTAGCCGTATTATGGTGTGACCAACCCTATTTATAGGCAAGAAGTTACCTTGAAGGAAGCCGAATCCTACTAGGTTTCGTGTTCTAGAACCGCCTTTATCAGGTCCGTTGGACCATGTGTCGTTGATGGGCAGGTCTAGTAATCCTCGGTGGATATGGACTCGTCATCATGTGTGCGTGTGAATGAATAAGAAGTATGCTTAATGTAGAGAAAAGTCCATCAACCATTACTCCACAAGCCTCCTCAATCGTCAAGTACTATACCCTCATCGATTTGGAACAAAGAAACTTATTCATCGGAGAAACTCAAATCAATAACTAAATTGATTACCAAAAAAATACAAAATGAATTGGTCACTACCAATTTCTTGAACTATTTCACTATAATTACCTTGCAAAAATGTCGAACATGAATATTTGGTGAACAAAAAACTCGCACGGCTGGGAAAAAGTATTAGGGTTTTGGCTCTTTTTTCTCTTTGATGTGATAGGATCAAAAGAGTAAGGGCAATTACGGAAGTGCATAAACAATTTAATTTTAGGACTTTAAGAAAATAATTTGCTGCACTTAATCCATATTATCAAAAACTTGTACCCCTTTTATTAATTAAAAACTCCCTACTGCCCTTAATCCAAATTTTTCCAAGAAATTATAGATTTATTTAAGTTTTTTCTCAGCCCCAATTCAAGTATTCGATCAAAACTCAAGCATGTCATTCTTCATTGTCAAACCAAATTTTCAGATGGTCCAATTTGATGTTTATGAATCCGGTGTTTCTAACCCACGGGAGAGTTCTTCGATGGTATGGATTGCAGAGAGTTCTTCTCTTCACTCTTCTCATCAATCCAATGCCCTCGATCCACCATTCCTCCCAAATTATCTCCGTTCTCGAATTTCATCTCATTCACTTCATCAACAACTAGGCAGCCCCAATTTCCCACTCTCCAACTCTTCTTGATCATGGATTAAATCTTCATCGCCACAGAAAACTCTGAAATCTTCTCTCGGAGGAAGGACAATTGCATCCAGATCGACTTTTGATAAATTGATTCCAAGCCCTTCTTCGGCGGCTCTAATTTTCTCTGCCACCGCTTCCATGACAACCGTAACCTTAATCCCCGTCAACTTACCAATCTCGATGACCTCGCCGTCGGACATGTGAACGGGGACAAATGGCTCGATGGAGATGTCGGTGTCATCTTTTGGGTGAAGTGTGTTTCTATTATGTGACCGGATAAAATGTCGATTCCAGTGAAATAGATGTTTTTGATAAAGGGTGTATATGTAACTTAATTTATAAAAGTCAAATTGGACAATAATTTTAGGACAAAATTTTTTTGGCAAACTGGACAATAATTTTGGGACGGAGGGAGTAATATTCTTTTGTTTTGTTTGTGTTGTAATTTCTATATATGTATGTCCTCCCCGTCTATCGGACGGGTCTAACGCCTAATTTAATGTGATAATAAAGGACTGATAAAGATTTTGATAGTGAGCGGGAACTTTTTTTTTTTTTTTTTTTTTGCTTCTTTCCCCAACCAAAATAGAATTTCATAACAAAGAGGAAAAGTCATAAGATTCCGATTTATAAAATGCAAAACTGGGCGTTTTATTTATGTTAAGAGATCATTTTTTTATAGTCAACCTTGTATTTCGGATGTTCTCATTGACTTCCGATTCTACTTGGAAGACAAGTCTTACCACAAAACATAACTCTTAGTAAGAGATAGGATTGGAAAACCCTCGAAATTTGTTTTTGCATGAATTGACTAGTTGACTCATGGAATCTAAGTCGAGTAAAGCTTCTTCTGGTGGTTCATCACTTGACTTATTAGATGCGACGGTTTAAATTACGCGTTTTATTTTAAGCCTCACATCCAATGTGTTTGACATGAAATCCATGTATCAAAACAACACATCCGTTCATAATTTAGTGTTCAACAGGACATCATCAATATCAATGGGAAACATCTCCAAATTGCTATTGTGTTTCACCATCCAATACTTCTATTTCGTTGCTTGTGGAGCTTCCACCGATGAATCTGCTCTTCTGGCCATCAAAGTCCCAAATAACAAATTATCCTTACAACATATTAGCTACCAATTGGACCAAAGGAACCCCTGTTTGCGATTGGGTCGGCAACGCATCACTTGCAGCCAGAAGCACCAAAGAGTTGCGGCATTGAATCTATCCGGGGGATCGTTCCAAGGCACAATAGCCAAAGAAGTTGGGAGTCTCTCCTTCGTTGTTTCTCTTGACATAAGTGGAAACTTCTATGGTTTCATCCCGATGGAATCGGCAATTTGAGGCGATTGCGATATCTGCACATGCACAGCTCAATGTGCTAAGCGGGCAACATTAAATTGTATTGAATAAGATGCACATGAATCATTTCTTTCTCTCTCTCATAGTTCTTCTTCTGTAGTTTACATTTATTTCATAGTAACATTAAATTTTTATAAATTTGTAAATATTACTTATAATACAATTCCAAAATTTAATAAATCATTTTTTTTTTGTTGGACTAAGAGAGTAAAGATTGGAAAAGAGTCCGATTGTTTTTTTTGTTTAAGTCATGGAATCTAAGTCAAAGTGAAGCTTCTGGTGATTGATCACTAGATTGCCCTTGACTGATGGACTAATTGGAAAGCTGAATATTGAATAAGAATAATGATGTGATGCGATAGTTTGAATTGGGCCTTTTTTTTTTTATTTATAATGCCAAACAGCCAATTTTGCTTGACATAATAAAATCAATGTAACACAAGGGATATCAAACCAACACATCAGTTCATAATAAGACATCAACAACATCAATGGGAAACATCGCCAACTGGTTACTGTTTTTCTCAATCCAATATTGCTTCATTGCTTGTAGAGCTCTGCCATTATTCAAGAGCATTTCCAAATATGAATATGCTCTTCTTGCCATCAAGTCTCAAATAACACATGATCCCTTCAACATATCAGCCACCAATTGGACCAAAGGCATCTCCGTTTGCGATTGGGTAGGCATCGCTTGCGGTCAAAAGCACCAAAGAGTTGCGGCATTGAATCTATCTGGCGGTTCTTTCCAAGGCACAATAACCAAACAAATTGGGAATCTCTGCTTCCTTGTTTCTCTTGACCTAAGCAGAAAAACTTCTCTGGCTTGTTCCCAGATGAAATTGGCAATTTGAAGCGGTTGCAATATCTACATATGTATCTTAATGCTCTAAACGGCCAGATTCCACACAGCCTCAGGAACCTCACCAGAATGGAAGAACTAATCTAGTACAATAACAGTCTAACTGGGCCGATTCCTCGTTCCATTTTTAACATTTCTTCGTTGTGGGATGTTGATCTGATGTACAAATTCCTTAACGGGACCCTCCCCGATGATCTCTGTACAAATCTTCCAAAATTGGAATACTTCAATGTGTGGGGCAATCAAATAGGTGGGCAAATTCCCGCTTCCGTATCTCGATGCTCATGAATCAATGTCCTTGCTTTGGGAAGCAATCTTATTACGGGTTCCATTCCTGAAAAATTTAGAAACCTTTCAAAACTGGAGATGTTGTACCTTGATCTCAATGATTTGACGGATGCGCTACCTTCAACACTCTTCAATTTTTCTTCAATGAGTTATCTATTAGTTGGGTATAATCAGTTATCCGGAGATCTTCCATGGGATATGTGCAAGAATTCCATTAATCTAGAATATTTTTATCGCGATACAAACAACTTCCAAGGCCAAATTCCAGCTTGTCTCATTATTGCTCAGAGATGAAGTTAATGAATTTGGAATTCAATGATTTTAAGGGTTCCATACCTGCAAATATTGGCAACCTTTCAAAACTAGAGCACTTGCACCTTGGTGGAATCCATTTAACTGGTGCGCTGCCTTTAACGCTCTGCAATCTATCTTTGCTAAGGGATCTCACAGTTGAGTCTAATCAGTTATCCGGCGGTCTACCAAAGGATTTGTGCAAGAATGCCATGAATCTTGAACGTGTGGATCTCGTTCTCAATTTCCTTACTGGACCAATCCCTTCTCGTATTTCACAATGTAGTGCACTCCAATACATTAGGTTGTGGTCTAATAACTTCTCAGGTAATTTTTATTCAGACTTCTTGCATTAGTTCCATCTGTAGCTAGTAGAAGAATTGAATTAACTTTCTGTAGTTATAAAACATTCAAATGTTTGATCAAACAGGAGGGATACCAGCTGGGTTGGGAAACATGTCCGCGCTTCAATTTATGTATCTCCATAACAATAGCCTGACTGGAGAAATTCCATCCGATTTAGGGCAGTTGACAAAGATTGAACTACTATATCTCCAATCAAACAAGCTAACTGGCGTAATTCCTCCATCTCTGTTCAACATAACAACATTGTACATATAATGTGCATATTGTGAATATTGTATAGTCTAGATTAGTTGTACAGTCTAGATTAGTTATCTGATCGTTGGGGTTGTTTTGTAAATATTACAAGTAGCATGGTTGTTTTGTAAATAGTATGGATAGTTAGATTAGTTAGCCGACTTAGTCTTGGTTGTATTTAATACGTACAATTTATGTCTATACAGTCTAGAAGATTTCATTCAATAGGAAAGAATATTCAGAAAACCAACTTCTCTCTCCCTTAAATTTCTTCCTATTTTTCTTCACTAAATTCTCAAATTCAACCATCAGATTGTTGAGATGGTATCAGAACAGGACTAGATCCTGCTCTACGCCGGAAACGTAATCTATTGATCGAAGTATTTGCCGTCAATTGTTTGGAAAACTGAAACCCTAAAATTAGCGATAATTCAAGAATGGAGTTCGATCGTGATGGAAATCGGCGAGACGAAGGTCATAGAGATCATGGAGATGCTATGATTGGTAACGGAAGATATGTGCATCCGCTGATTCTTCATCCATCTGATAATTCTTCTATGAGCACTGTTGCTACGAAATTGAATGAGGCGAACTACGTGTCTCGGAGTCATAGTGTTTGCCAGTTTCTTGGAACAAAGAATAAGATTGGCTTTGTGATAGGAGCTGTTGAGGAACCAGATGTTGGAGATCCCCAATTTGAGCAGTGGCACAGGGTAAACGACGCCGTAGTATCATGGATCTTGAATTTCATCTTGCCGGAGCTGGTAGCGAATCATGAATTGGCAGTGAATGCAAAGGATCTGTGGGAAGAACTCAAGGAGAGCTACGGCACTAGCAATGGACACAGATTTACCACTTGAGGAGAGAAGTAGCTACTGTGTCTCAAGGTAATCTCTCTCTGGCAGCTTATTACTCGAAATTAAAAAGGTTATGGGATGAGTTGAACTGTTTTGATCTGCTTGATGAATGTTCTTGCGAAATAATAAGGAATGGAAGTAGAGAGAATCGTCATAAATTAATAGAATTTTTTAGTGGATTGAATTATTCTTATAGTGCTGTTAGAAGCCAGATTCTCATAATGCAACCTTTACCAGAAGTTAAAAAGGCATATGGAATGGTTTTAAATGTTGAAAAACAGCAGATGGTAAATAGAATTTATACTATTCCGGTTTAGCAAAGTGCTATGATTGTGCAAAGAAAGGTTTTAGGGAATGTTTACTCTGGCCATAGTTACAACTCAGGAGGGAATGCTTATTCTAGAAATAGTTATAACTCAGGAAACACAGGACAAGGAAGAGGTTATACCAAGACAAATAATTCTACTGGCAATGGTAATGGTAATAACTTCAAGAATCTTAGTTCTATGGAAAGGAGAATATGATGAGGTTGGATAAGGCTGCCAAACAACTGCTCAAGTATGATCACTATGGTTTTACTGGATATTTGAAGGAGAGTTGTTTTAAAATCATTGGCTATCCTGATTGGTGGGAAGGAAATCTTGAGAAGAAGAAAGGTTTACTTGGCTAGTACAGTGCAAGTATGGCAGAAACACCACTGGAATCAAATGTAGCACAACCTAATCAAGAAGATCTTATGGCAATGATGAATAACCTGCAAGTGATGCAACAAGAAATGGGTAGACTGATGAAAGGCAAGCAAGGACAAAGTGAACTTGTCAACTTCTCCCACTTTCATGACTTTGCATGTATAAGTACCTACAATGCCTTAAGTGCCTTAAATTTGACTGAACAACAATCACTTAGGTTTTGGTTTCTAGACACACGTGCAATAGGTCATATGGTAGCTTTACTGAAAATGTTAACATTCTATCATGATGTCACCTGATTTACCCCTATCACACTTCCTGATGGTAGCATCAAATCAGTAGAGCACATAGGCAATGTTAAACTCTCATAATCCTTAGAGCTCTCAGATTGTCTTCATATTCCTTCCTTCAAGTACAATTTGATTTCAGTCAACAAATTACCAGTTTCTTCCAAAATTGACTGCTTTTTTCCACCTCTTTCTGTTTGTTACAGGACCAAGTGACTAGGAGGATAGTTGCAGTTGGAAAGGTCCTAAACAAGCTTTATGTTTTAGATTCTACCTCATTCTCAACTTCAACCATCAGCCACTTCATCATCACCAACATCAATCATCCATTCCTTTCAACAGTCAGCAATACAGAAGACCATTTTTCCAACCTAGTGGCAGATTCTAGGTATGAAAATTGACATAAAAGATTAGGCCATGCTTCTCCATATGTTATGAATAAAATAGGTTTCTCTTGTAAGGATGAAGACAGTTTCTGTGATATATGTCCTTTCTCCAAACAGCAATGTTTCAGTTTCCTTTAAGTACAATTCAGACTAAAAAAAATTTAGAAACGATACACATATCTTTGGGGACCATATAAACAAAGGTCTTTTAGTGGAGCCTTTTATTTCATGACAATTGTTGATGATTACAGTAGGTCAACATGGACCTATTTGATGCAAACCAAAGTTCAAACCACTTCTATTCTTAAATCCTTTCTCACTATGATTCATACTCAGTTTGGCAAAATAGTAAAAGTGATCAGATCAAACAATGGATCTGAATTCACAAATAATGAAATACAGACCTTTTTTCTTATTTGGGAATCCTTAACCAGAAAATTTGTCCATACACACCACAGCAGAATGGTGTTGTGGAAAGAAAACACAAACACCTTCTATAAATTGCCAGATCTTTACTATTCCAATCAGGCTTACCAAAATCCTTCTAGGGAGATTCTATCCTTACTGCCACATACTTAGTCAATAGACTTCCTTCTTCATTACTCGACTGGAAAACTCCATATGAGATATTGAATTCCAAACCTCCTTATTTGAATAATCTAAAGGTCTTTGGTTGTTTATACTTTGCTACTAATACCACACCACATAAGGACAAATTTGAACCTAGAGCCTTTAAGGTTGTTTTCCTTGGATATCCAGTGGGACAAAAGGGTTACAAGTTGTATGATCTGTCTGCCAAAAAGATCTCTGTCTCTAGAGATGTTGTGTTCCATGAATCTTGTTTCACTTTCCTACATTCTAAAAAGGATTCAACGAATGTTGGTTCTCTTCAAGTTGATGAATTCATTCCTATAGATTCTACTTGGGATGCTCCTACTACTTTTCCTTCTTATTCTCAACCACAGCAAGATCATCCTTCTAACTCTACTCTATCAGATCATGTTTTAGATCATACATCAAAACCTTTATCTCCTCAACACTCTCAGACTTCTCCAAGTCCTTTAGAACCTTCTCCTGTCATTATCCTCAAATCATCCTGTTAGAAGGTCCACTAGATCTCATCATCCTCCTAGCTGGTTAAAGGATTTTGAGATAGGAAAAGAATTATCTACTACAGATCATTCCTCCATGATTTTTAAAGCTCCTCAGTCTTCCCCACATTTTCCAAATACTTTTCCTTATATCTCTGCACCTCAATTTTCAGTAGAGTATTTATCATTTTTTACTCAAATTACACCTGTTGAAGATGCAACAGTGTGGCTTTAAGCAATCAGACAATGATCCTTGTCTGTTTACAGGTCAGATTAATGATCATTTTATGATATCCTCATTACTGGCTCCAGTGAAGTTGTTATCAACAAGGTTAAACAATATCTTCATCAACAGTTTACTATTAAGGACATGGGTTGTGCCAAGTACTTTTTAAGTGTAGAAATTGCTAGATCTTCAGCTGGTATGTATCTTTGTCAAAGAAATATATTTTAGACATACTACAAGAAACAAAATTACTTGGTTGTAAGCCTGTTTTAACCCCTTTAACAAAAGGTCATCAATCTAGTGATCAACCAGGACCTGCTTTGTCTGATGCTTCTCAGTATAGAAAATTGGTGGGACAGTTACTTTACATGGGATTTACCAGACCTGATCTGGCCTTTGTTGTTCAGCAATTAAGTAAACATGTTCATCAGCCCTGCCAGGATCACTGGGAGGCTTTGATCCATGTTTTTAAATACCTCAAAGGGACTCCTGTACATGGCCTCTTCTATCCCTCTACTAATTCCCTGAAGGTTGAAGCTTTCTGTGATGCTGATTGGGGCTCCAATCCAGTTCACAGGTGTTCTATTACAGGGTTTTGTATTCTTCTTGGCCTTTCTCTGATCTCCTGGAAGGCTAAGCAACAAGGAACTATTTCTTGCTCTTCATTAAAGGCAGAATACAGAAGCATGAGTGCCACCACCAGGGAGTTGCTTTGGGTGAGTTATTTACTGCGTTATTTTGGTGTTTCTCTTCAGCTTCCATTACCTCTCTGGTGTGACAACTCTTCTGCAATTTATATCATTGAAAATCCTGTATTTCATGAAAAAACCAAGCACCTTGAGATTGACTGCCACTTTGTGCGCCATCGATATACACAAGGTTTCTTGGTCCCTCTTTATCTCCCCTCCAAAGATCAAGTTTGCTGATCTTTTCACAAAATCCTTGCCACATCCGCTGTTTGTCTCACTTCTTGACAAGCTTGGCCTGCAAAGCTTCTTCCAGGCACCAGCTTGAGGGGGGGATGTACATATAATGTGCATATTGTGAATATTGTATTAGGCATGACCACGGTTCAGGTTGTAATTAGAACCGGCCCAGAACCGAACCGTCAGTTAATGAACCGGACCAGAACCGTGAGTTATGGTTCATGAAACCATAATCGGACCGTCTAGTCAAGGGCCGCTTACGGTTCAAACCTTCCAAAAACCGTAAATTGGCCGTTCTGCCAGTTTTGAACCGGCGGTTCAAACCGTTAAAAACCTCCGGTTAACCATCGGTTTCATATAAACTAAGTATAAAAATATTAGTTTTTATAAGCATAAAAATGTTAATTACTATCTCATTTTCAAAATGGATGTCGATTTTCTAATTTGTGGTTGTATCAAAGTATAGGTCTATTTTATTTTCCAATAATAATTTTCGGATTATTTTTTCCAAATTACCCTTATGTTTTAAATATCATTTATAGAGTCTCAACACACAAATACTTAAAATTAAGTGGTCGATCATAATAATTAGGGGTTAAATAGAATTTTTTTTCATTTGTTAATGATTAGCCCGTTACTATTGTAGTGCTTAAAGTATGAAAAAAAATTTGTTTGTTAATATATGTTTTGTTGTTTCTGTATTTAGAAAAAAAATGTAATGATAATTCATCTTTTTGAATAAATTTTAAATA